GCTGTCAAGGAGTACTCTTCTAATGGCCGTTCCATAATCAGCATAATTGCTCTTATTTCTTTGAGGAAAACGAACGCCCACTAACGGTGACTGCAGCTCCTGTCTCTTATACACATCTGTAATTTAACGATGCCTGGAAGTCATATTCGATCCGCGGCCTGGTGGTGCACGGCAGGTGGTGGTCAAGGCCGGAAGAGGACAAAGCCGAGTGGTGCACGGCAGATTGGTGTAGGTCCGGAGAGATCCAAGGCGTTCGATTCAGGGCTTATTGGTGCACAAAATTGGTGGTGCATGGCTGCGCTCCCCCACCACTGCACTGGATGTAATGGACCATCATGATTCCTGCCTTCCGAAACATAGCCTTCAACACTTCAAGCCGTCCGTATCTAGGCCGTGGGTCGAACCAGCCCTCGATCGAACGACAATAAATTTTGGAACAGAACTATGCTATCTGAAGCCTAACCTGAGATGTGGTGAACGTAAAACTACGTAATTTAACGATGCCTGGACGTCATATTTGATCCGCGGCCTGGTGGTGCACGGCAGGTGGTTGTCAAGGCCGGAAGAGGACAAAGCCGAGTGGTGCACGGCTGATTGGTGTAGGTCCGGAGAGATCCAAGGCATTCGATTCAGGACTTATTGGTGCACAAAATTGGTGGTGCACGGCTGTGCTCCCGCAAGTTACTTCACCTTCGCTCTGTGCCTAACTCTGTGCAATTTTCCAAATACATGCTGGACAAATAGTTAGATAGTATTTAATTTCGTTAGTATAGATAGGAGTGGTGAGTAAAAGTTTTAACTCCTTGTCTCAACTTCTCAAGGGTGCCGAATGCCGATGCGCCGCCGGGAGCGGGGAGTGCAGCCGTGTCCCATCAATTTTGTGCAACAATAAGCCCTGAATCGAACGCCTTGGATCTCTCCGGATATCCACCAATCAGCCATGAACCGCTTGGCTTTGTCTTCCTCCGGCCTCGCATAGAACCTGCCGTGCACCACCATGCCGCGGATCGAATCTGACTTCCGGGCATCGTTGAATTACATAATTTTACGTTCACCGCATCCGAGGTTAGGTTTCAGATAGCATAGTTCTGTTCCAAAATTTATCGTCCTTCGACAAGTGGCCATTCGACCGAGTTCTGGTTCGACCCACGGCTAGATACGGACGGCTTGAAGTGTTGAAGGCTACGTTCCGGAAGGCAGAAATCATGATGGTCCATTACATCCATGGCAGTGGTGGTCTTCGCTCTTCGGCAGGCGACCCTCGGGAGCGGCCTAAAGGAGGCAGTGCGTCGATCTTGATGTCTAATTCAGACGTGGGCGCCGGCTCTTCTGCTGAGACTATTTCAGCTATAAACAACTTCGGGAGCGCAGCCGTGCACCACCAATTTTGTGCACCAATAAGCCCTGAATTGAACGCCTTGGATCTCTCCAGATATCCACCAATCAGCCGTGAACCACTTGGCTTTGTCTTCCTCCAGCCTCGCATAGAACCTGCCGTGCACCACCATGCTGCGGATTGAATCTGACTTCCGGGCATCGTTGAATTACATAATTTTACGTTCACCGCATCTGAGGTTAGGTTTCAGTTAGCATAGTTCTGTTCCAAAATTTATTGTCCTTTGACAAGTGGCCGTTCGACCGAGTTCTGGTTCGACCCGCGGCCTAGATACGGATGGCTTGAAGTGTTGGAGGCTATGTTCCGGAAGGCAGGAATCATGATGGTCCATTACATCCAGGGCAGTGGTGGTCTTCGCTCTTTGGCAGGCGACCCTCGGGAGCGGCCTAAAGGAGGCAGTGCGTCGATCTTGATGTCTAATTCAGACGTGGGCGCCGGCTCTTCTGCTGCAGTTCTACTATAACGGCTTCTGCATCCGCGACATCAACAGTGCCGAGAACTCCTCACAAGCAACCAAGGCGATCTCAGGCTGACTCATATGATATGACTAATGACTAGTCCATCATTGCCAGTTACTGACGATGCAAAAGTGATGAAGCAGTTGTTTGTTGCTGTTGTGCGCCCACACCCAGAGTTTGGAAACGTCGTGTGGTCCCCAAAATTTGAAAAGGACAAAAATTTAATAGCCTAGTGTTCAAAGAAGCGCAACAAGGATAGTTCCGGGCTTGAAAGGCAAGTCCTATGAGGAAAGGTTAAAGATTATGAAGCTTCCAAGCCTCAGTCATAGTGCCAGATACTAGATAGTGCCTAGTGGCAAGGCAGAGAGTTTTTTTAGACTCAACCTAGCTCAAGTTCATTTTTGAGTTCTATAAGTAGACCAGTAATTTAAAGTATTGTGGATACCAGCATTATCATACATAAGAAATTGATTAAATCTTGAGGAAATTAAAAATGAACTGATTCTAAAAATTACTGGTTTGTCACTATGGCCTCAGTTATTGATGTCTGTATGAGGACCTCATTGAACTTTGAAGCTTACAAGTATACCCATGGTTTATACAAGTTACAAGGTCCCAGAAGGATTACTAGAATTTCAAACAAGAAGTCAAGAACCAACACCAGGCCCCAGGGGCCACAGCTATAAACTAAAAAAACTGCATTGGAACACATCCATGATCCATGCAACAACATTTCTTCTCGCCTACGAGTCACCGACATCAGCAACATGTGGAACAGCCTCCCTGAGGCTGATGCTGATAGCATCATTGATGCTCCAATTATGAACACCTTCAAAAACAGACTAGACAAAGCTATGCAGGAGCATATGTTCAGTCTTAAAATATCTAGCAAATTACGGAATACGGACCAGGCAATAAGTCCAGCAGCTATTTCAATCAATCATCAGTTATGGAAAGATCAGGTTCCAAACTCTACCAAAGACTGGAATGCTGGATCCCTTGTGAATCAAGTCAGGAAATGTTCAAGAATCGGCAACAGGCCATGGGCCTATTTCTTCAATGCCAACAGACTTCTATGACATGTCTCTGACTCTGACAACTTGACAAGAAACTTGAACTACATCATGGAAACCAACTCACCAATATTAACTGACCATCTGGCTTTGCCTGAGCAGCCTGACTCTTGACTTCAACTTGAAGGATCACTACTCACAAGGATGCATTGGAGCTGGAGGCTATTTCTGATAAGGTAGGCTAGGTGGTTTCCTCTTAAGTAATTTTGATGGCTTTACATGTTTAAATGTCTTTAGTCAGCTCCCAATTGACTTGTAAGTCATATGTAATGTATCTAATATGCTGAAGCCAAGGGTGAGAGCCTGCTGAGTGCTGACTCCTGCTCAGAGTCAGAGAACTGCAGGTGAACTGAGAGGCTCAGAGAACTGCGCCTCTCCTTTGGCAATCTCTAAGCTGCAAACCTTTCAGAACTTTGCTCTTTGCATAGCCACATGATCTCTTCTAGTGGCCTCCACTTTCCACCTGCACAGCAAAGCCAAGGTCTTATCAAATTACCCAAGCGTGGAAAACATCCACCTTTAGCCTTTAGGGCTGTGACTAGAACTTTCCTGCCATTTCCAAAACCGCGACATTTCCACCTGATGAATTACCTCCTAACTAATTGCTAACAAAAGTGCACGATCAGGCCGTGAGATTCCAATTGTATTAAAAATTTGTCACAATGGAGCTGCGAGATTTCAGAAACAAGCAGAAAAATTCCAATCCTGAAGTTACCTGTGGGCCGTGGCCAAACAACTCTCTCTGCTCTGCTATGCTCACCTCACAGTACTTGCCACTTGCCAGCAAGCACCCTATGACCACATCATCCCAGCTACCCTATTGTCACCCAGACATAGGGGCCTCACCCACATTCCCATGAAGCACATGCTTCAGACTCGCTTCTTCCATTTGGCCTCTCACCCGCTGGAGGAAGGATCCCTCCCCCCTGACTCCTACTCCACTTCCCTCAGCACCCTGCACAGCTCTGCTGTCTCCTCCTACCTGGCTTCAGCAGCTCCTAACAAGGTGTTGCTGACCCCTGCCCCTCCCCTCTGTCTCATACAGCAAGCTATCCCTCCACAAATGCCAATCAACACATGCTATTGAATTGGTGGCATGTGCTGCACCATCCCAGGCTGGACCATCTGGCCCATGCTCATTGTCTGTGTAGAATGTTAGATAGATCCAAACTTGAGTTGAGTTGCTGGACTAACAGAATAGCCTTTAAGGCTTCAAAACTTAACCTGGTCTTTTTCTACAGGGTCAATAAACAAGTCTTCATAAAGTGGATCTGAAAAAGAATAAAATTATTTATCTTGTACCAACACATTTATTTTCATCAGGCTCTGAATATCAAGTATCAACCTAGTTCCATATTATTTACTAGTAATCATGCCACTGCCCCCTGCATTGGCAGCTAAGCTTGCAAAAAGAGGCATCATTAGAAATGCCACGCTGCCTACATCTAAGAAAGATGCCCAAAACAATGATGGAACTGAGGCTCAACTAGGTAAGGACTTGATTTCATATTTATTTCTCTGGTTTGTTAGGATTGAGAGCTTGATCTTGGCATAACTATGTTTTACTTACATGTTTTTTGTTACATTCCATACTCTCAAGGCTTGGAGAATAATCCCATGAGGCAAAGTGTAGCAATTGTGTTATCAAGATCTCATCAAAATAATGTAGTCTGAACCACTTGTAGAAAATACTTAAATCAAAATTTTCATGGTAAGAAGTTATTAAAAAAATACAGTCAAAACCATCCATTTCTACCCCATTTGAAGATACCATTGGCTATTGTAAGATTGACCCTTGCATATGACATTGTACCAAAGTTAGAGAAAGCTTTGTTTTACTGTGGTGTGATTAGGAAGATAGTAAAAATGTTGAACATTATGCCACCATTTTTAGTTTTGCAATATTTTGATTAGTTTAGCTGCTACAACATTCCTACAAAATGTGGGACAGCTGTCCCGATTTACTCTGTTTGACGGTATGTGACGAGTTACCAATCTAGTTCATGCATCACTGGATTGTTTGCACCACTGGCATGATTAAAACTCATCACATAATCCCACTACAGCGCAACAATGCTTTCTCTAATTTTGGGCCAATTTTACACTCAAGGACCACTTTTACCCTGCTGATATTACTGTTGCAGTGACTACCAAATCACAATTCAACCTTATGAGGGAATTATTTCTATCTGACAGGTGGAGGCCAAACTGAAGAAATCATTGCTGAGAGTTATGACGATGGCACCGCCCAGCATACCAACAGTGAAATGCTGCACACAACTGCTATGCTGGCTCCTCCAAATGAGCAAGTTATTCCTCCTTACATGGTTGGTTTAGGGTCTTTAATGATTTTATTAATGAGGCCCTTGATTCATTCGTTGTGTGTGTGTTTCAATATCTAACAGTCAATAAGTATTTTATGCATTTTACCACATAGTATCTTTTACTCAAAGGCAGGCAAGAATATTGAACTTGTATTTTGTATTTCTCTTACCTCATGAACTTTTTTTACCTTTTATTTTTTAAAATACCTCCATGGTCCTAAATTTCATTTAAAAATATGTTCTTAAATGCGTCTTGAATTTGCTACTACAGCAAAGCAATACCTTTTTTGAGCAAAATAATTTGTTCCAGTGCTTGACTATTAGGAGTGGGTGTCCAATTAACTTCGGGTCAGTGTGATGAACTGTTGTCACTAACAAACCACTTGTACAATACTTTGGATGCATCTGGAACAAAATGCGTTTTCACTTACTCAAAAGTGACAATGCATATATTTGTTGCTGCTTATCCACAAAGTTTAGTCTTTTAGCATTTAATTCAGTATTAATTGCATTTTATACATATTTTTTCTATTACAGGGCTATAGTCTTTGCCCAAACAAGTGGAATGTATACCACGACTGTACTCCAGGCTGTGTGGAGATATGGGGTAGAACACCTAAACCATTGGATCCTGAGTATGAGAGGTCAGTTCATAGAATTTATTGATTAAAAAAGAAATTTTTAGTTTTGTTCTCTTGTGTGTCATTCCATTCTTTAGGTATTTCCTTCCATTGCAGTGTTCAATTGAATAATTTTAATGAAGTAACAAATAATGAAAGCACGTGAAACTGCTCAAGAAGGAGAGAATGAGTGGTCAGTCATGGACTTCAATAATTAACATGGAAATTTGTACTTTGGATCACTTGCATGTCTTTTCATCATGCTTTTGGGCCTTTGCTGTCATTGCAGTGCTTGATACAAAAATTTATATAAAGCATCAATAATATTTCAGGAAGCGCCTGAAAATGGTGAACAAGTATCCCTTGCCTGCCAACTGGATGGAGGTGTTTGACCCTGGCATGTAAGTTTCTAATGTCTACTTAACCCTTAAACTTTTAAAAATTAGTTAGCAGCTCAAACAGCTACCTATATACTGATCTTTTTCTAAATGTATATTCCTACTACTATAACTACCACAGTGAGTTTGCTTTATGGCTCCCATGTGCTAGCAAAGTTTCTGATAACCTGCCTTATATATGTTAAGGAGGCGCTACTACTACTGGAACTGCGATAACGAGTTTGTCTCGTGGTTGCCGCCTGGTCATCCCAAATGCCGCGTGTCTCGCAGCGCCGCTGACCTGCGCCGTGTACTGCACACTGAAAGAGCTCAGCGGCTTGCTGCCGAGGCTCAAGAGAAGGCGAACATGAGCGACGACAGCGACAATGATTCATCCTCGAGCAGCAGTGGCAGCAGCAGTGACTCGGACGATGAGCACTCTAGCCCCAACAAGAAGAAACTGAAGAGGAAAAGATCCCACAGCGTTGAAGGAAGTGAAGAAGATTCTGATGTAAGTTTTTCTCTTCTTGCTATGTATTGAAAATGGTAATCATGAAGCATATTCTATCTGTTATGCGTCTTACATTAAAAGTTGAGAAACCTGGAGGTTAAAATAGATAAAATAGAAACTAAGGGGGAATGCAGGTACGGCTCCCATTTTTTTATGTTGAGTTGCTCAAAAGTTGTCGATATATAGGTACCTACAGTGGCTGTCTCTTATACACATCTAGATGTGTATAAGAGACAGGTGTGGGACTNCCCCCCACTGTATATTTACTTGCATCTTTCCAGGACTCGGATGGTTCAATGTCACCATCTTCCCGGCTAACTCCACCTCCCCCTCCACCGTCCTCTGAGCCGCCGCCTCTGCCTCCCATGGAGAGACCTATGCCACCTCCTCCTGCTAGGGGTCCTTCATCTGGCCGAGGAACTCTAACCTCCAGCAACGAGGGCCCTCCATCTGGTCCCGGGAGTCGTAAGGAGCGACCGCGACGCGGCGGGCGAGTGGGTGGCCGTCCACGACCTCCTCCCAAGGACGACTTGGACCCGATGGATCCGGCATCATACGGCGACTGTCCAAGGTGCTCAATTGTTCTGAATAGTTTCCATTCAACGGCTCTAACATCTGTCACAGGAGTGATCTGCAGCAGTCGAGGTTTACTTACCTTCATGAGTTCGGATATTATAAAGTAATTGTACCATTACTTTAACACTTAAATATTTAATACAAGCTTTTACTTTGGATAGCTCCATATACCCGAAAGAATGTTCGCTATATCACGTTTATTTAAGTCTGTCTGAAATTGCCACTTAAGGATTTTCTGGAATCAATGAGCAGTTTGTTGAACCAATCAGGAGTTCAATTCGATGCTTTTTTACATGCATCTTTGATTAACCAAGGATAATGGTTGTGTAATGTTCTGCCTCATTAATCTTCGGCTCTAAACTTGCAGAGGTTCATGGTCGAGTGGACTGCCTGACCGCACAGAAGCCAAGACCGGCGTCGACACTACAGCAGGCGGCCAGCTCTACCAGCAGCGGCCTTACCCGTCGCCCGGGACTGTGCTGCGTGTGAACGCCACCTCCACAGCAGGGCCGGTCTTGCCAGACGCCAAAGATAAGGAGTGACGGGTTCCATGGCAAGCTTTATTTCTAATAGAACTTTAAGATATAGGTACAACTTTTCGGCTAGTGATGTGGCGAAAAATTCTATCTTTATACAATGGTTTTGAAAATTGTAGTTTCTGAACGAATGTAACAAGTTTGTTGTGCATTGTACTGAGGTATTATTACTGAATGTAATTACGTGTCAAACATTGATTTTTTGTCGTTTTAATCATAATAGAAAAACAGCACGGAACGAAGACAGGTTTTATTCGAGGCAGTAATCACCTGATTCTGAAGCTTAATCTCGAGTCTGGAATGCATTTTGTCCAATCATGGGAGCTCAATTCGTGTTAAATGGAAACTTAGTTACGCTATTTAGAAAATTATTGCTTGAAATTTGCTAAGAACTTTGAGTTTAGGAAATCATCTAAGGAAAAATAATAGACAAATAATGGAAGACTAATTTTATTTCTCATGTACTGGTTCTTATATACAACCCCGACAAATTCTGATTTCTAGCCTAGGCTAATATTTACACGATGAAAAATAATGCTATTTGTTATTCCCCATCTACTTATTTCAGTTACATATAGCTGAGAAAAATAAAATTCTTGTTGTACATAAATCTATGTAGCTATTCTTAAAGCTTTAATGACTTAGGACTGCGACTTCGGTGAAGAAGAGATACAAGGTGCGCTCTACATAAACGTCAAGCCGCCATTTGCAACTCCGCTCCTTATTGCTGGACTCTAAAGCAGACTTTTTGTGACACTGCAACGAAGATTCATACAGGTTACTTAGCTGCATTAATCGGTTATATCTGTCTTAAATTAAACAAGATTAGTAAAGAAAGGACGTTATTCTTACATTTAAGAAAAGCAACTTGGGCCGGATGAGAGACGGAAGATACTATTAACGGTAGGAATATTGTTACAAGCGATTACACAATATGTGGATTTAGCAAGTAAGTACTCATGATCTGGCCTCTTATTCACCTCAAAACCGAATGAATGAATTCAAGAGCAAAAATTATACATTCAAATATCTGCATTTTTGTCGTTAGTGACGATAATACACCAAAGAGGAGTAAAGGACCAACACAGATTTGATAAGATGTCATTGTTGGAGTTCAGAAATCGATAGAAGTAAGAACTATTTAATACGAAAAAGTTGAATCCGACACACATTCAGCTCCGTAATTCATATGATTTTAAGAAACAAAGAAGAAAGTTAGCAGCCAATTTGAAGAAGTCATCTTGTACGATCCGAAAACGTGAATAGCTACCTATTTAACGGGCCGTGGAAATAGATCATTAAAGCACTGCCTATGAGGGGAGTTTTAGTTTGCCTGTCTGTTTAACTTCCGGTAGAACGTTCAGGATTGGGCTCGGTAAAATGACCGTCACTTAAATAGTAACAATAAATAATACAAGATAATTACGGTACGAATGGAAGTTTTTACAAAATGAAGTTTAAATCAATAAAAATAAATAATTGAAAGCTGCCTAGCATAATATTTCTATAACTATTGGAATTATTAATGCAAATTTCAACTTTAAATGGTAGCTGGATTTTACTAACAAATTCAATGGAGAATCTGATGAGAGCTGCCAACGTCCGATTCACAGAAACGCTGAGTGATTAAATCATACTGAATAACTAAATCGCATGTCAATAATAAGCTCATTACTTAAAAGCTTAAAGATTCAAAGGTCATTATTTTTTCAAGAAGCAAGAAATTTTTTAGGTAAATACGGCGAAGCAAAATGCTTTAATGTAGAAAGAGACTGTTTTCAATATCCAAAAGGTTTGCATAAGCACCATTACTTCGAGAAAGGGACAGTTTGCAACTTACGGACATTGTACTGTCCTTTTATTAAAGCTTATTTAAAACTGAAGAAATTCCAGCTGTCAGAATTGTACAGAAAACAATATTCTAAGTTATTTTGTCACCTGCACAGAGGCAAAGAACAACGGTTGCATCATCATATATTGATGACAGTGACCATGAATAATGCAACAGGAAACAATGAAACGCATTTTGACTAAATCCATTCAGTTCCGAAACGCATTAAGAACTAACCAAGAAATATGAAATCATATTCATAAACATGGTGTTTTATGGAGAGATGAAACATCGCATTTTGGATCTCCTCCAGAAGATCTATAGCTTTCAAAAAAATTTTCATCTCTTTACAGTTCCGAAACCGTTGACCAAAAGTAGTCAACAAGTGATCATTCATTTCCAAATCTTTCTTTACCGAAGATAATTCTAAAAGATAGTTAAGTAACGAAATAAAGCTGCAGACGAGACATAATTTTTCCTTGCAGATATTTTGACGTCATTCCTTTCAATTCCACCTTTAAACTTCCGTACTACGTGAAAAATGTATCAAATATAATTCCTAATAAATCGCAGGCCACGTACAGTGGCTATATTAAAAATCAGTACACCATTGTTGATTTTTATTCAATCTAATCTAGGACGGATAGAAAACTGGATTGTTGACTACTGTGCAGCTATTGCTTTGCCAGGAAGAGCGCTGCTCTGACAAAACCGGCAAAGACCGACAAAATGCGAGTCTAACAATACAGGAAAAAGACAAAACTAAGCGTGAGGAAGACCAGCACTACGACCGCTTCAGAATCCGTCACTTTAGACAGACAACATTTTTGCAAGTCAGATTTCATCATAAAACTTCCAAGACGGCGTCAAGATCGTCGCGTTACTTCAACAATGCCCCTAAGTCTCGGGCTATGCCCAGCCAGGCACGGCCGGCTCATGTGGACATACCGAAATAAGATGTATTTTTGACTAGGAGAGACAAACATTGACTAAATCGCATTAGTACTAGGGAATAGGTGGTCCACTGAGTAAATCGCTTTTGGCTTTACTTGGTGGTGACAAACCTCGAAAGATATACGACGGAATACCACGTCTAAATTGTCACTTGGCTTCGAAAATATCCCGCTTAGCTCGGACAGTTCCAGCCGTTATATACATTTTGGGTCTGTCCTTAACACGGAAAGTATCTCTGCGACTACTTAGGGACCTTAAACCAATTTTTGAGGACGAAAATTGTCGGCCAGCAGCGCTCCTTCCGTGAAGGTGAGGAGGGCTGGCGGGAGACCGAGGAGACAGCCGAGAAGAACGAGGTCCCATTAAAGGACCTGAACGTAAAGACCCGTACCCGTTCTCGAAGAACTCGACGATGGCTTTAATATCAGGTTCGTGGGTGTCGTGTTCCTCCTGTCCACACAGATCTTCAGAGCTGTCAGTGACCCACGAGCGCTCCTCATCTTCACAGGCAACAGAGGCGCAGCTGAGCGTCGAATAACTAAGCCACTGATCCGGGGTACCGGTTCTCTCCATATCGCCTACACTAAAGAAGCCACTCTCACCAGATCCCCTTCGTTTGATAGCACCTGTCAGATGAGGCATATGAGGGACACAACCACCGCCGCTGCCTCCCTCCTGACGAAGGAGTAACGAGCAGCGTGCTGGAGATTCATGCATGTGAGACAGACTCGTGTGGGAGCCGTGGTGGTGAAGTGGCGCTCTGGTGGAGGAGGAGGCAGCTGCGGTAACTACTCGCGACAAGTGAGAACTTGAAGACTGCTGACCGTTGTGTGTACCTCTTCTGCCGGGCAAAGGGTCTGGCAATGAGTGACAAAAGCGTGCGCCATCTCCAACGGTTAGTCGAGAAGGTGCGGGTAATTTAACTCCGGTAAAAGGATTGACGGTTGCAGTAGATGGGGTGAAGTATGGATCAGCAGCTCCCATGCGCTCGACGACTTCCTGGGGCGTGCGGCCCATCTCAGCAGCGGCTGTGGACGAAGGTACAGCAGACGCCCCGCCGCTGCCCTGACCACCCGAGCAGCTGCTGTAATTGGCGTCGTCTCCGTTGCTCGAGCGGCCCAACATCAAGCAGTCGTCAGACAGGGAGCGACGATGGCAGACTGCACATTAAACATGTATAAATTTTGCCGTACTATGAAGACACAAGATACTAAGCCGCACAATCCTAACTTGGAATAAAAGGTTTGCATCCTGAATGTAAATATCATACACCAACTTTATCCGGCTTAAGCAGTGGAAAAAGGCCTTAAATAGTTACTTTATTTGTATTAATAATCGCACCTTTTTGTTTCCTCATTGCAGAAGATGCGCGATGTCCCATGAACTTGTTCAACAACCATTCAAAGTTTTTAGTGAGTTCTTCGAAGCTGAATCGCGTATTTGGGTCGATCTGCAAAAAATTCCGCACATGAGTAGTGTAGTAATAATAGTATAGTACTTCGCACAGTAAAGTATAAAAATTCCCGCACTTTTACTAAAAAATTACAATCCATAATTGTATGATTGTCTTATCTAGGTGTAAGAATCAATTTCAACCAAAATCGTTCTAACTTTGTTTGAAACCTCACTGACGAATAAATCATCCACTAATCTTGTAAGTTTTCTAGAAACCTAGATATAAAATATTCTTAATCGAATTGAAAATGCACCTGACAACATTGGAAGGCCATCTGCAGTAAGTAAGGCGGGCAGTCGTTGGGACACATCCGAGAGAAGGCTAAATAGTGCACACCGAAGTTGTTGGTTCTCGGTAACACGTCAGGATCAGCTTCACATCTGCCAGCAATTATTCGTCTCGATAAAACCAACATTTTTGTTAAGAAATAATTTACACTATGTAAGAGAGCAATATAATGCGCGAACAAGATAGGGATTGAAATTATATCACTTCCAACAATGAGTGTAATTTTCATGAAATCACTTTTTACATGATATGGTGTCCTGAAAAATGCCCTTTTGAAATTCAAATGGTATGCGAATTGTGAAAAAATGTGTTAAATTTACTTTCCTGCAAGTGTCAGGAACGTCAGTTAATAGATTCAGTAAAATGATGTGGAGTCATCGTTACCTGGCGATCATTTCACAAAGAATTATTCCAAAGCTGAAGACGTCAGCTCTATGGTCGTACCACTCGCCTCGTATCACTTCAGGCGCCATCCAATAAGGAGAGCCCACCTGGCGCATGCGCACACTTCTGCAATGTTCACAATCTTATTAGGAACTTTATACTTTCATTATTTCAATAAGTGCAATTATAGATTACTTAAATTATAGGTATCAATCATTAATTATTATTATTGTTTATTCGAAAAACTTTTGAAGGTCGATTGTTCAGACAGTGTAACACCTAGTTTACGCTGAATCAAGTCTCATTGTAGGTGCGAATAATAGTTTTGATACACACACTTGGCTATGGCATCAGATCGGTTAATTAGTGTGTAACCATCCAACTTTCCTGGTCTTCCAATGAAGAATTTTCTGAGAAACATTCGAACATAAAGCTCTGTAAAACTATATGTTCAGATTTGATATGCCTAGCACCATATCGATCCCGGTGGAAGTCGAGTAGCTATTTCAAACTTTCGTCATTCGTGAAAAGATCCGGTCAAATTACACGATTTTAGATTTTCTGTGAACAAGGCACGAAAAAGAAAAGAATCGGCGACAGGCCACATCAGGCCTACACTGCAGCGCCGAGATCACTATGTTATGTTATGTTATGTTATAAACAACGTTTATAAATGGCAACGTTTGTGTTATAAATTTTATATGTGGCAACGTTTGTGATGAAAAATGTTTTTAAAAAATCTTGAACTAGTCTCCATGATGAATTCGCCTGCTCAAAGGTACTCAAAGACCTGATATGCGAGTGCGACTCACTTATCCTTGGGGATAGAAGCAGCTAAGCCGAAGTCAGCAACAATGGCCTCCCAGCGCTTCCGCCCAACGCAACCAGTTTCTTTGACTAAAACGTTCTGTGCAAGTGAACGAGATTGGGTGAGTTGTGAGCCAGAGCATAAAAACAACGAACATAATATTAGGGTAGCTTAACATACTCAGTACAGAATACAACTGAAGCTAACATAAGTATAAACTGACATGAATACAAGAAATTAGGTTTCATGCACGTTAATTAAGACGCAATGCATAATAGCCAAGTGCAGCAATCACCGCCCATGGATAAATATGAACACCTTCAACGCCGACATTCTTGCGAGTGTGGAGGAAGGTAAACTTGACTCACTTTGGACGTGAGGTCTCTGTGGAAGACGCCCTGGGCGTGTAGGTATGCCATGCCTCGCGCGATGTCAGCAGCCAGCGACACCCTCGCCAGCCAGCTGACCTCCACGGCGCGGTCCTGCAGAATCACGTCCAGAGGCCCGCCGCTGATGTACTGCACGCGGTCAACCCAGTTACAAATTTTCATTAAAAAAATATAACTCAGTAGTACTCACTGCAGTTAGTTATAGAGAGCGCATTTTCTCGTCAACGAAAACGTGAAGTCACGGACGGACGGACAGACAGACGGACGGACGGACATGACGAGCACAATAGCGTCTTTTTTCCATTAATGAGAAAATGCGACTCAACATACAACTAGAGAATAGAAATAGTTGCAGAAACCTTCGCTGAAGTGCTAATCAATAAAGTCTCTTTTCAACAAAATTCAATAGGCGCATACAAGACCAATATGTTACGGAATTTGTGTATTATAATAGAGGTTACTACGAAACTATCCTCAGCGTATCAACTAACAAACGTTTGAAGCCTCGAAACCTGAATTATGAATTATATAAGAATAATTATTATATTATAAATCATGAATTTATTGTGAATTCCTCAAAAAGAATATAGAAATTATGTACCGCAACTTTGCATCATGAAAAATTTATCGATGTTAGTTGGCTTGACTTGGTATCGCTTCGACCAGGTTCGTTGGATTCGCATAGTGGTTTTAATATTTGTTATAATGATGTGGAGTTTACTGTAAACTTACCTCAGTCAGAGCGTGGACTTGGCCTTCGTGTATACAAACGCCGTGGTACCTGCAATACAAGTACAGTGATCAGGATTATGTAGCAAGGTTAATAAACATACAGTTTAAACAAACAAAAAATAGTCAAATGGTATCTCTAACTCAAATGAGAATGAATAAATTTTTCGGTGATAACGGATAATTGACAAGTATTCCACCATTTACAGAAGGTGATAATATGTATAAATGCAGAAACCTGGAGTTCATCAAACCATTCATCAATGAATTAAAACTTTGAACATATGATATTGACACTATAAATACCGGTTATTTTAAAGCTCTCATTACTGTAAAATTATAGGAACACTAAAAAATATTAAAGATAAAAATTTTGGTAGTGACATCGTTCACGCTAAAATATTAAAGATAAAAATTTTGAAAGTGACATCGTTCACGCTAAATTAAAATTAATTCGGCAGAAAAATATCTAAGTAAATCTACCTAGTGGAAAACAGTCAAAGGCGCTAATTCGATGCTAGAAATGCTGGTAAAAAGTTCTGAGGTGCGGGGACTCACGCCAATATGTTGGGGTGGTGGAGACGGTTCATGAGCTGCACCTCCCTGAGCATGTTGTGCCGATTACTGACCAGTTTGTTCATCTTCAGGACCATAATGTCACCCGTTACGCGATGACGCACCTGGTAAACATAGTCATTTTAATATTAAATAACAAATGTGAAGCAAAACATTCTCAATAACAACAACACCAATCAGCGCAATGCAGGAGTATTGGATAAGTTTCTAAAAAAACCGTGTGGCACAATACGTTCAGAAGAACAGGCTACAATCCGAACATCATATTAGACTATGCATAGCCTAATCCTCAACGTCAAAGCTATTATGCATTACTTATACTATGAACGCATAAAAGTTTCCTTCAAGTGTTGAGCACACCACAATGCATCGTTAAATGAACGGAATCATGCGCACGTTAAAAAACATTGCCGGAAATGAAGTGAACGCGAGTAGTTCAACAAACAGGGCCTCGGTCGCCTGCCAACACAAAAACGAATCGCAGGAGCTGTTTAACAACTGCCCCGTGTGCAAATTTATTCTCGTCAGTAGAGTAAACCTTCGTGTCAATACAATTATACGGTCGAGGTCGTAGAAAGCAAGGAAAAAGACTAACCTAGCCCTCATTCAGAAAAAAAACTTCGAAGTTGACTTCTAAGCAGGTCATAAAATCTACACTGGTATACGTAACATTTACAAATATTTATTACGTTACAAACAAGAGTTCATAACGCAATAACGCAGTGAATACATAAACTGCTGCCACAGATTATAGAAAAATATAATAATAGAACGTTTAACGGGTTGCGAATGATCTGTCCCAGCTCGTTTGTTTACCAACGAGGTACTGCAGATATTTGTTTGACCCCAACCGAGGAGCTGTCAGGCAGGCCTGGCAGCTGCGTGGCGGGTGAGTTTGGCAAGCGTGAGCCAAAAATGCGTTCGGCGCAGTGCCGGGCACGGGTCACATGCCCACACAATTACCCATTTCAGCGAACTCGATGACGCGTTAAGTGAAAGAAATACCTACAACGCTTTTTGGCACTAAGTTAAAGTTGCCTTTTGAATTGCCATTTACTTCAGTAACATTCAACAATGAAGAATCGATAAATAAAGTACAATCTTTCATCTCGCAGGAGCGAAACTGAGATACCAGTAACAAACGATATTCGTTCTCACACTATGAGTCTGCGGTATAAACGTCACTCGTATATTTCATACAGTTGTGAATTATTGGTAACTGAGCAGGAACATAGGAGAGGAACGACCGCGTGAACTAATCAGCGCAATGCAACCGCAGGGTCGCATCAGGTTTTTTTATGGGAAGGCAAGCGGAGACACAGAAGGATAAGGTCCTGTGACGGGGTAACCCAACACTCGAGTCGGGACGTGAAATAAGAGGACCAAGATATCATCCGTTCAGGTCCCACGGTGTAACAGAGGGACGATGTTGCATTATTCACCTTTACCTTTCAAATTAAAATGCGAGGCAATAGGGAGATGTAGAAGAACTTGACACTCGTGAGAGTGATGAAACAAATAATGTTTGACAATCGTTTATGCAATTACCATTACTCTGTAAACATCATGTAAAAAAACTTCAATGAATCGTTACATTTAGAAAGAAAATATAGTTTTTAGAATACGAAGATTCGACGAAAGATAGCTGTAAAAATAGATAAACTTTACAAAATATATAAACTTTTGACCTCATTCGCTACCAACCGCGCTAGAAATGAAAATCATTTTCTAGAAAGCCAATTTGCAAAAGAAGGCTCTCACAAGAACGCCCGACACAACATCGACCCGATGTTGTTTCCGCCTCCTTATTTGCTCCATTTTGGTGCGGTCAGTTTTGCTCCACGCCCACACAGTTTATGGCTCGTTAGGCTGAGAGGGAGGGAGGAGGCTTTCGGTCAAATCCCTACATACTCATCATTTACTACGAGTCGCAGGTCAGATTACAACAAAAAAACATGCGTAGAATATTACACTGGGGTTATCATCCCTTACACGCTTCAGTACAGTGACATAGAAACATGATACATGTATAGATTAATTAAGGACCAAATTATTAGACTCTAATCACTGAACTCTCAGAGAAAAACCAAAAAAGCAAGCGGAGCGCAATAGAATCTTTGCACATGTTGCAGCTCACTGGGCAATTCTGGCATAGAAGCCAACAATTCTTCCAATGAATATAAGCTTCAATACCATAGCGCCAAACATGAATCCAAATTCAAATTAACACTTCATGTAACTGTTCATTCAGCCCAGCTGAAACCATGCGTTTTCTGACGGCGTAAGCAATCTAATATATATCTGCGCAAGTTTGCGTGTTTGTAGTTTATTATCAAAGTATTTCGGCTGTGCGCCGCATACCCACGATACTTTTTGTATCATATATTATATTACCAGATATTTTTTGAACTGAAGTATCCCGTGACATTGAGAAATGGGAAGAAGAGCTAAATTAGTAATCAAAATGCAGTTTCAAATTTTGTATGCATAAATTTCATCCAAAATTATGAAAGTTTAGTTTCATAATAGAACCCGAGTGCGAGGGAAAGTGTCATGCTATATATGGGTTTGAACAGGTTTTTCTTTGGTTACGCTACTCAAACTTCAACTTTATTAACTAGCTGGATTAAGAATGACTTGACTCAGAATAACGAGATTTTTAAATTTCAATGATTATATGTATCGCGGGTAACGCTGGACTAACCTGCAAATGGCCTGCAAAAGAGCAGCAGGACCAGAGGGCGTGCCGCTGCTATCAGAGGCTGTGTGAGCACAAGGCGTCATCAAGCCTATTGAAAGCCGGACGCGGCCAGCAGCTTAGCCTTATGAGTGACTGGGCAAATACACACGTTCAGGTCTGGGCGGATCACAAATGAACCGAGGTCTTTGTTGGGCATAAAAGATCCCTGGTTCAGTATAAAACATTGTCCTTTTTTTCATTGTGTGTTTTTTTTTCTCGCGAACCATTCATTTTCTTCAACCTAAATTCTTGATAGATTGATAAATTTCGCCAGAATTCGCTAATAGAGCACACTTCTAAAATACTAAACAATGTAAAATTGCATTGTGCCATTTCGTTTTAAACGATTAATCAGTAAAATATTATAGTGTGAAACAATAATTTAGCTCCACCTCTGGTGGTTTGGATTTAAGTATTGTGAAGTGGCTGCATGTTTTTAAACGGAAAGCTTGCATTATTAAAGAATACTGTTCCTATCCGCTTAAGATTGTTCAAACGACAGGTGTTTATGTTATTTGTCCGTTTTTTCGAGACTTTTCGAGATCAATTCCATATAATTTGGATTTTCTATGCTGATTGGACTCGTATTCTCTAATTTTTGAACTTATGGAGCTGGGCTCCGATACGTTTTCAGAGGAGATGTGGTGAAAATATGGAATTTATGGTATGGTGTGGTGATACGTTATCCTTGCTCTTAAATTCTTGGCGAACTTGCTAATTATGCAGACTGATTATATGAATATTAGTAAACAATAAATCAAGCGTGGTACCTATACAAATTACAGGGGGAAAAATAAAACTAAACATTTTATAAAGATTACACAAACGTTATGACTGAAACACACGTAAGGTATTTGAAGCAATGTAGTGAATCCTGAACCAAATGTGCATCAAATCAAGACGGTAAAGTTAAAGCGGCGGGTGACAATTGCCTAAAGATAGGACTGCTTCAATAGGATCCTATGCAACGGCAACACGAGACAATTGTTTAGCGAGGAACAATGAGAGGCGGCGATGTCACTGAGACGGAGGAAAGAACAAGTCTCGTCACCAGCATGACGATGGCCGGGTATCAGAGCGAGGCTCTGCCCGCATAAGGGGCTCGCAGCACTGCCAGTCCCGCCTATATTTTGCGGTGAGCTTTGCTGGGGGCATCCCCTATGGTTTGTCCCTGGAGCAACTGGGTGCGTCCTGTACTTAGTCATGTAGTCAGATTCTTACAAGTGTCGCAGCTCAGCGAGTTGTCAAGTCCTTTATCCTTACAGAATCTTAATGATAAGCTGCACGAGACATTTTTCTGCAAAGCTAGTACCGTTGTTTTGTAAATGGGCAATAAAATAAACGAACGAACACGATGCTTTGAATGAAATCGAGAATTTGAATATATGCTTTTGAAGTGAATTCAAGGAAATGAAAATCGTGGATAAAGATGATGGGGACAATACGGCCAAGGATGACGGATAGTATAAAAATTATGACTGCAGTCAGATAATACGAGGAAAACTGTGACAATTACCAACAGACAGTATATACACCGCAAGTAACGAGAAATGGAACGCCAACTGAAAATAGATAGAACTCAATAGCAAGCAAGAAGAATGAAGTAGCAACAGTAAAGGTAGCACATACGTGAGAAGCAGAACGATAGCAGAGAACAAACACCAGACAGGCGGGAAAGGAAGGCGACAACAAGCACGGCAGGACCGACGAGGATGCGACGGCGTGAGCGTGACGGTGACCTTGGTAGTCATATTCCTGGCGGCGTATAGGGAGACGAGCGATGGTCTCGCGACGTATAGTTAAGGAGACGAGCGATGGTCTCGCGGCGTATAGTTAAGGAGACGAGCGATGGTCTCGCGGCGTATAGTTAAGGAGACGAGCGATGGTCTCGCGACGACACCCGCGTACAATACTGAACACGAAGCGTTCACCAGCGGGCAGTGAAAGCCTCCACACAACGAGAGAGAGTTAACGAGTGTCCTGAGTCTCGTTCAGTTCAGTAAACGGTAGCAAGTTCATCAATATTTGTAATACATATTAGATAGTAATTAATTAATGATATTATTACTAATTAATAATAGATAATTAGATAATTGTATTAGATAGATAGATAATAGTAATATTCACATTGGGCTTGTTAACAAAACATGTTGAAGGCATTAAGGCAAGTCCACGAACAGACTCAATAAATTTCATTATCGTAGCTATAAATTTACGACGTGTACAAATATGCTACGAATACCGTAATGAAATAAAACCACTATTTATGAAGTTTGCTTTGCAAATATCCGCCAACATCAAAAATGGAAGAATTGATCGTATAGGAAAAACTATTAGAAAAAACTATTCAGCTTGGTGATGGTC